AGCAATGCAAACGTTACTTTGCTAACAGATGTCATATTAGAAATCTTACTTAACCATCATGAGCAATTTGAATCCAGGCAGTTCTTCAATTAAAACATCTTCTAGAATGCAGTGCCAGGGCGGCAGTCTCCACGCTGTCCTTTGTTTCCTTCTTTAGTCTTTTGGGTGATTATCTTAATCTCTAGTACCTAAGGAGTAGGACTTTTAAGGTACTGGAGAAGGTAGCTCATATATCAGGGATACTTTTGGGTAGCCTGGTCTGCAGTTGGAGTCTGGAAAACCCTTCACCTAAAAGATATTTTTGAGTTAGGCTGTATTGTATAAGTGAGGGTTTAATTTCTAATCCTCAAACAAGCAACTTGGTAGCCTTGAGGATGTCGGATGGGCAAAAATAAGAACTGCTAAAATGAGTTTTAGATATATAGAAACCCCTCATTGCTCTAAATCAGGAGTTCTTAAACTTTTTTCTGTCATGGACCCTTGGCAGTCTACTGAACCCTATGGATTATTCAGAATATTGTTTTTAAATGCAAAAAATGCACAGTTACAATGGAAACCAATTATATTGAAATAGTTATTAAAATATTTTTAAATATTTTATGCCTGGAAATCATGGACTGCAGTTTAAGAACCTCTGCTCTAGGTGTTCTTTGTATTCTTGTAGGTATTATTTGGATTCCTAGGACACCAACCAAGTTGTTTCCTCCTCCCCTCCCTGGCACCTCTCAACTGCTTGAAGTCTGATTTGTACCTCCTTGTCTTATAGCAGCAGATAACAGAATTTGAGAACTATATCATCTAAACTAAACATCTCATTTTACAGGGAAACAAGTTGAAGGCCAGAAAAATGATGCGATTTGGCCAAGGTCACATCGGCAGTAAGCAACAGAGTCTGGATTTGAATCTGTGTCTTCTGACTACAAATCCCATGAACTTTCTAAATCCTGCTACTTTCCAGGCTTCTCTTTCCTAGTCCATGGTGCTTTTCGTTATGCCATTTGGTCTCAAATATTTCCTTTGCAATTAAAAGGAAACAAATAGGGGACAGTTAGGTGGCATAGTGGATAGAGCACTGTCCCTGAAGTCAGGTGGACCTGAGTTCTAATCTGGCCTCAGACCAAACACTAGACACTTACTAGCTGTGTGACCCTGGGCGAGTCACTTAACCCCAATTGCCTAAAAATTAAAATAAATAAATAAATAAAAAGGAAAGGAGTAGGAAAAACATGGAAACCACCTTACATAGACCCAAGCAGTTTCAGAATACGGATGCAACTCAAAGGGTGGGGTGTTTATTATCGTTCTTGTTTTGTAGTGTACCTGTGTAAATTTATACATTTGTATGTTGGGAAGGTAGATGGAAAAGTTGATAATGCATGCTTTCCTTACTCATTTAGAGAGGAAGAGTAGAAATTCTTCGACTCTAATACTTTAGAAGTAGGGTATTTTCCTTTTACTTAGTAACTAACCATATAAGTATAGATGAAATCTTTCAACTGTGTACTCAAACACTTAAGCAAAAAATATGATGGTAATACTAAGGTAAGAGAGCTCTAGGGGCAGCTAGGTGGCACAGTGCATAGAGCACCAGCCCTGGATTCAGGAGGACCTGAGTTCAAATCCAGCCTCAGACACATAACACTCACTAGCTGTGTGACCCTGGGCAAGTCACTTAACCCTGTTGCCTAAACCAAAAGAAGAAGAAGAAGAAGAAGAGAGCTCTAGATCCATGGAGTGCTGCAATTTAATCTTAGCTTGCCAAAGACTTGTTTAGCTACTCTAGGGTAAGGTATTTAATCTCACTAAGAAGGGTGATGTAAATACTAATCATCTATCTAGGTTTCTTCTGGGGGAAAAAAAACACATACAAGTAATTACAAATAAAAATTTAAATGTGATTTTAATTATTTTTAGTCATGCATGGATGGGCTGGTCATAGATGGTGTTAAAGTAATGACTCCTTTTTAATTGACATACTTAAGCTCATATATGTAATCATATCCCCTTTAGAGTAGTACCCTTCATGGGCTATTAATTTATTCCAAGTATGCTGCCATTCCTTAAAATCAATAAGCATTTACTAAGAACCTACTATGGGGCAGGTGATGTGCTCAATTCAAGGGAGACAAAGATAGACCAAAGAAACAGTGCCTGTTGTTAAGGAATTCATATCTAATGGGAGAGACAACATGCCAACAACCACATACAAACGAGATAAAACAATCAGAGGGAAGGCATTCACATTAAGGAGGACCAGGAAAGGTCAGAAGTTAGTTAAGACTTGAAGGAAGCCGGGGAAGCCAGAAGGCTGAAGGAGGCAGAGAATTCTAGGCCAAAGGGACAGCAAATGATAACACACAGAGTTAGGAGATGGAGTGTCACGTCTAAGAAACAGCAAGGAGGCTGCGTCATTGGATCACAGAGAAAGGGATGAGATGACTAAAAGGTAACAAAGGCCAGGATATGAACAGCTTCCAAAACCAAACTGGATTTTATATTTGATCCTAGAAATAACAGGATAATAAATAAACACTAAGTTTATTGATAGATAGAGAAGGAGAGAAGGGTGACATGGTTAGACATACTTTAAGATCAATTTAGCAGCTGAACAGAGGACATGGTGGACACAGGAGAGACTGAAGGAAGAGAGTAACGAAAGGAAGGGAATACCAATAGTTCTTACAATGTAATTTGATTTTTAAGGGCAACTGTGTAGTGAAAGAGATAAAGCACTGGCCCTGGAGTCAGGAGGACCTGAGTTTAAATCTAACCTCAGACATTTAATGGCTGTGTGATCCTGGACTTGTCACTTGATCTTCATTGCCTCAAAAAAAAATGTATTTTGGTTTTTAGAGAGTTGCCTGGGGACACAGAAGTCAAAAGTCTTGTCTAGTGTCCCATAGCTAATAAGTGTCAGAGGCACATCAATCTAAATCTTCTTGAACCAATGGTGATCATCTTACCCACTACACCCCTACTACCTCTTGTCATGAAGAGAAAAGGCTGGTAAATAAGATATAGTGGAGAGATATTTTGCACAGTCACTAGAAATGGTACTTATTAGCTGCGTGACTCTGATTCTCAGTTTTCTTTTCTTTTTTCTTTTTTTTTTTTTTTGGATCTACTCTAGGTCCATGATTTTGTTACTGTAGTAGGGAATCCCCAGTAAGGAAGCTACTTCAGCCAAGGTGGATCTGCCTTTATTCTGCAATTTATGATCTCAGTGTGTTGCTATTGGCCCTGAGAAGTTAACACAGGGGATAGAGTGCTGGGCCTGGAGTCAGGAAGACTAATCTTCCTGAGTTCACATCAGGCCTCAAACACTTACTGTGTGACCCCAGGGCAAGTCACTTAACCTTGTTTAGCTCAGTTTCCTCATCTGTAAAATAAATTGGAGAAGAAAAGGGCAAACCCCTCCAGTATCTTTGCCAAGAAAATCCCCAACAGGGGCAGGAAGAATCAGCTGTGACCAAAGCAACAACAACAACAATAACAACAAAGAAGTTAAATGACGTGCCCAGGGTCATTTAGCTTGTCTTCCTAAGCTGAGACTGACTCTATCTCGTGCAACGTATAGGCATTTAAATTTCTCTGTAAATAAGTGTTAAAGATTTGTGTAACTCAGGAAAGTTATAGGCTTTCATTTCAAGGTGAAATTTCTGATAATTTTTTTTAAGTATATGCTCATGATAAATGTCTTCCCACAGATATAATATTTAAATTGAAGCTTTGAGAGCTGATTAAAACTTTTCCCACTTCTTATATCTGTAAGGCTTTTCTCCTGTGTAGACACTCAAAAGTAGAGTTTCTTAACTTGGAGTCAGTGAGCTTAAAAAATCAATATCTGTATTTCAATATAATTTATTTCCTTTGTAATTTTATGTATATTATTCATTTAAAAATATTATTCTAAAAAGAGGTTCGTAGGCTTTCTCAGACTTCAAAAAAGGTTAAGAACCCCTGTTCTAAAGATTGTAGCCTCAAATCAATATCCCATCCTGCCTCTCCCAATTTGTAAAATAGAGATTATATAAGTATTACTTAATTCACAAGATTATTGTGAGAAAACTCTTTATAAACCTCAAAGCTTCATATAAATGTAAGTAATTTTTTCAAGCTGGGTGATTTTTTTTTAAATTGCAAATGAGATATAATTAAAGGAATGTCTTTTTTTTGCTGGATTTTACTTGGGAGGTTTGGGACATAAGCAGTTGCTGTAGCAGAGAGAAATACAGTTAGAAAGTATTGAACTTCAAATTTTCAAATAAAAAAACATGTGAAAGACCTCCTAAATGCTGTTTGCTTTTAATGTCTTTGGTGCCAAATCTATAATTTTTAAAAATCTTTCATCAAATAACTATTTCTTTGTTCTCCTTTCTCTTTTCCTTTAAAAGTTAATCATTCAGATTGAGTTGTGATAAGACTTCATTACCTCTTTCAAATGCAAAGATGACAAGAAACAAAACTCGACTACTTCCTTATAACTTGCTTACAAAGGGTGCTAAGTGAAATGACCTCCCAGACCTCAGAAGTTACTCTAAAAGGCTCATTAGCTAAGTCTCTGAATGTTTCCTATGGATGCCATTTCGCTTTCAATTAATCCCTACATTTTGTATTTGTACTTTGCTATGTACTATACTGTTCAAACTGTCTCTGAGCAGAAAAAAAAATCCATGTTTCTAAAAAAAATAAAAAGAACCTAAGGAAAATAAATACTGATTAGAAGTTATTATATTTTTTATTATTTGTATTGCAGAATCATTTTTAATGCAGGTCAAATCATGTTCTGTTGTGCACGTAGTATTGTATCAACATCTACCCCACTAGAAAATAGCTCACTTACAACACGTATATTTATCTTTTCTCCCAGACCCCAATGTTAAAATGAGATTCTACTGTCATTATAGCTATCATGCTGTAATTGAAGTTTCTACACACACACACACACACACACACACACACACACAACTTATTCTAATGTTGCAAAGTAATCCATAATATACTATTAATATGTGGTCTTTATTTTCAGTAAGACTTTGTAATTTTTCTCCTTATACAGTCATTGCAAAAAAAAAAATCTCATGTAATGAAAATGGATAGATTGCCTGCATTGTACATGGATACCTTTGGAATTCTAAGACAGAAAAGGAGCAAGGTGTCTTGTTCATGTGGAGGATGAATGAAAGAAACATGGCCAAAAGTCACCCTGGATAAGAAAGTGGAGAGGGGTTTAATTGCATTCATGCGAGTAATGCTCAGGAGTACTCACACATAAAATCAAGGATTCCTTCAAAGTATAAGAACCAGGTGATTAAGATTACAGCTTCCAGTGCATGTTCTGAAAAGGAGGAAAGGAAGAGAAGCCATTATTACATAGTACATCTTTACTATGCTGCAAAGAAACTACAGTACCTAGTGCAGAAATAAATCTTTCATGGTTGGAGACTATGAATTAGCTTGAGGAAAACTGACTACCTATCAGTATGTTGGTACTGGTTATTTTTAAAACTATAGTTCTTTTAACAGTGCAGAAGCCTGTATTGCTACAATCAATTAACTATGGACTCCTGCTAGAACTTATAGTGTGTTAGAATATTTGCTGGAAAATTAATATTGTGTCAAAATGTGAATCTTCAAGTACAGAAGTTAAAACATTTAAGTTGAAGTCCAAATTTATAGTTAGTGTTGCAAAAATACAGATTTATGCACTGTTAAAAGAACCACGTGGAATTTCCTAATCAAAGATTGTTTAAAACAGAGCTTGAAAGATTGTTTAAAACAGCAATTTTCATACAAAATGAACTCCCAGAAAATGCAGCATTCTTTCAGACTAAAAGAATGCAAATGGAAAAAGTAGAATGGAAAAATCAAAATGGCTTCAAGTATTTGACCCATATGGAGTTATGAAAAACATTTCAGTGGCAGGACAAAAGCTCTCTCGTTCAAGCACTTCCAGGGCTGTGCTTTCACTAAATATATCCTGTGAAGAGTGTTTCGTTTCTCCACCCCTTTGCTAAACCAATCACATTTTAACAAACAGTGCTGGGGTCCCTTGGGACAAGCAATGCAGAGGTAACAATGCCCTAGTTACAAGACTAAAATATTTGTTCAGAGCAAACAGCGCCTATCCAGAACTACAGTGCTTCTTTCACACATTATTTTGGGAGGAAGAAATACAAAGCAAACAAAACTGTTAACTTTTTGAAAATGCAAAACCTTTGCATGTCTTTAAAAGTACGTAATTTTTGTTACATGTATTTAATCTTCTGTAAAATAGAAATAAACGTCTAGAGCCAAATACTACCTCTTCTGATGCTTTTGATTGTACAAACCCATTTTTTTTTTTCAGTTGCAATCAGTTATAGGCGTGAGTCCCTGTTCTGCTTGCTTCCTGATAAATTTGTTCCTTGTAGGTGTGACCAAGAGTCAGCTCATTTGGTTTACTGCCACTTTAAAACCACTACCCATTTCCTAATTGGACAAATGAATCATTGTTTCCTTTTGAAAAAATTAAGGGAGGCTGTGCTCTCGATGTTTATAAAAAAGGCAAAATTAATTTTTTAACTGTTTGTCTTTCGACATAATCAGGAAAAATGATCAGGAATGCAGGAGAATTAACTCGTGTTTGTTTTCTTTACATAAGTAGTAGCCTCCTGACTGCCTCACAGCTCTTAAAGGACAAGGAATTTATATTGCAGAGATACACATTTAAAGAAGCCTAAAATTAGGGATTTCATTCTTTAGTGTTTGAGGAGTGTCCTATAACCTTAGATTCAAGATTCAGCCTGATTGTTAAGCTTTAGTAACAAGGTGTAAAATGGTAATAGGCTCGTGAATTTTGATGTAAGATGTGTGCTAAATTACCTCTTCTCGACTCCCATCACCACCTTTCCTCCATTAAAAAAGAAACTTCCTGGCAGTTTAATAGTGTCTTTACCTACATTACGCAAAATAAAGTTAAGCAGCATTGGCCCCATTGGGAGGTTATGGTGCCTTGTATCTAAATAAGGGAAAGCATTTTGCTAGGAAGGCATTTTTCTTGTTTTCTAAACCTATCCAGCACATACGGCAACATAAAATAATGTAAAGAAACTGACTCCAACTCAAAAGACTTGGATCCTTGTGACCTCTGGCATCTCATTACCTCTCCCTGGCCTTCCTTTCCTTTTCTGTACAATGTAAGATTGAAGCATCCCCTATGACTCTATATTCTAATTGTCATTTTTTGGTCTCATCCCTTTCTCTTCCTCTTGCTCCAAAGAAAATATTAAGAAGATAGATACAAGCAAGGAGGGAGGCAGAAAAGGAAAAAAAGGAAAATAGCAGCTTACATTTATATATGTTCTTAGATTTATAAATTACTTTCCTCACCATTGCAAGTAGTAGTTAGTCTAAGTATCATCTCTATTTTTCAATGACATCTGAGGGTTAGAGAAGTTGTGACTTACCTGTAATTATGTGGCTAGAACTTAAACTCAGGTCTTCCGATTCCAAGTCTAAGATTAGGACACTGATTAAAATTAGACCTAACCTAGAGTACAATATTCCTCTCATTCTTGAACCAGGCTTAGACTTTGGATATATTAAATTAGTAAACACTTTGGAAAGATCTTTAGATATTTGGCAGTACTTTCTCTCCGCCTTACTCCATTTTCCGGTATCTGTCAAAGACAACACTATCATCCCAATTAGAGGGTAGGACTGATTTTTTTTTTTAGAGAAATAGTAAATAACTTTTATTTTATAGAAATTCCATTTCTCACTTTGGCAGTAAGAAAATGACTTTGTATTTAGTAATCATGATTGTATAAGATCTGTAAAGCAATGTAATATATGTGACTGCCTTAAAATATAGATGGAAAGCCCTGTAATGACAAAGACTCCATGCCTCTATGATCAAATTCTGAATACTTCCTTTATCTTTCATTTTCGTTTTTGCTTTTTTGTTTTTGGCTGGGCAATGGGGTTAAGTGACTTGCCCAGGGTCACACAGCTAGTAAGTGTTATGTGTCTGAGGCCGGATTTGAATTCAGGTCCTCCTGAATCCAGGGCCAGTAGTCTATCCACTGTGCCACCTAGCTTCCCCTTCCATTATCTTTCAACAGTGTTCTGTTCCAGTCTCTCATCATGGCACTGAGGGAACCCTGACTTTTCAAGGGTTTTGCCAGTAAACCATAAGCTCTAGCAGGATCTAGGGAAGGGAAGGGAACCAGCAGTTACTAAGTGCCTGCTCTGTGCCAAACACTGTGCTAAGAGCTTTATAACTATTATCTCATTTGGTTCTCAAATTTATGATCCCATTTTACAGTTGGGGAAACTATGGCAGACAGAGGTTGTGACTTGCCCATGGTCCCACAGCTAATAAGTGACTGAGGCTCTATCATACAGAAAGGTTTTCAATATGGTCTCAGCAACAAACTAAGTCTGCTTTCTGAGGGCCAGCCTAACTAAATTTATAGAAACTCATAACCAATAGTCTGCGCACTTGTTGATAGATTATTTGTCCATGGCAACCCATGAAAAAAGAAAACTATAAAGTGACCTTTCAATCTATGTGTCATTCTGTTGCATTGCAATGATAGAAAAAGGTGCAGAGGGTGCTATCAGTCACAAAATTTTTAGACTGTCTAAAAGCAAAAACTTAGGTGTTGGTGTTCTAAATATGAGATTTTTGTTTAGTGACCATCTCTTAACTAGAGATCATTGGTCATCTTGGAGAGAGCAGTTACCGGACATATGTTCAGTGGCAAGAAGCAGAGCAGTGAAGGAGTGATGAGAAAGTGGAGGCAACAAATGTAGATGGCTTTATTTAGGAGTTTGCAAAAGGAAGGAAATATATAGGATGGTAGCTTGAAAGGGTGAAAGGGTCAAGTGAAAGTTTGTTGTTTGTTTTAAATGGATGGGAGAGACTTGGTTATATTTACAGGCTTCAGGAAAGCAACCTATAGATAAGGAGATATAAAAAAAATTAACAAGAGGCAATGATCTATGGGACAAATTTCTAAAGAACTTAGTAGAGGATTGGATCAAGAATACAAATAGAGGGCCTGGTCTTGGAAAAGATAATAATAATCTCTTCCTTCAAGACTACAGTATAGGAGGAAATAATGAAAGAGTTTGAAGTACAGAGATATGGCAAAGATGTTATTTATGACAGATGCCTTTATTTTGTCCGTAGAGTATGAGGAAAGGTCCTCTGCTGAGAGCAGTGTAGGACAAGGATAGGCAAGGCAGCTGAAGGAGAAAAGAGAACTTTGTCTTAGCTACTGTGCGGGGCTGTACAGAGAGTCAATAAAAGAAGTATAAAAGTTTTTGCGTCATAGCAGTGAGGATCCAGTATAGATTAGCTACTTTAAATGTGTAGTGGACAATTGTGTGACTTCTTCCAGAGGTATCCAGAAATACATTAAGAGGAGCAGAGAAAGTAGATAGTGGGTATAACCCAGGGTTAGGGTTTAACAAAGCATGAATAGAAATAGAACCAATGGGTAAGAGATTCAGGGGTAGAAGATAGTGTAATGTTGAACTAGTTAACAATGTGGTCAAGACTGAGGAAAGTGAGGCCAAAGCAGAGGAAATGAATCTGGAAAACAGGGAGGAGTAAAGTGACTAGAAATCATAATGAAAATGAAGAGTACATGTCTTAAGCCAAACTTGTTCAAAACAGAAAGCCATTATCTTTCCCCCTAAACCCTCCCCTTCTCCCACCTTCCCTATTACAAGAGGACAACATCATTCTCTCAGTCCCTCAGGCTCACAAGTTAGGAATCATCTGGGATTCTTCAACATCTCTTAAACACCTGCTCTTCCCCTCCCCCCCATCCAAATGTTGTCAAGGCCTGTCAATGTCACCTTTGCAACATTTCTCAAATATGCCCCCTTCTCTTCTCTGACACTGCCACCACTCTAGTGAAGGCCCTCATCAACTCAAGCCTTGCAATAGCCTACTGGTATGTGTGCCTGCCTCAAGTCTCTCCCCATTCCAGTTCATTTTCCTCACCAAAGTGATTTTCTTAAAGTAAAGGTCAGATGATGTCACTTCTCTGCTTAAACTCCAGTGGCTCCCTCTTGCTTCCAGGATCGAATACAAAATGCTCTGCCTGGTATTCAAAACTCTTGATAGCCCATCGACTTCCAGTTTTCTTACACCTTCCTGGCACTTACTCTTCAATCCAGTGACAATGGCATTTTGGCTGGTTCATGAACAAGACACTGCATCTCTCTGCTCCAGGCATTTTCCCCATCTGTTCTCCATGCTGAGAATGCTCTGCCTCCCCAACACCCCTGATTACTCCCCTGGCTTCCTTTACATCCCAACTAAAATCCCATCTTTTACAGGCAGTCTTTCCCAACCCCCACTTAATTCCAGTGCCTTTTCCCTCTTTATTTCCTATTTATCCACAGCTTGCTTTGTATGTTTCTTTGCGTGTTTTCTCCCTCATTAGATTGTAATCCCCTTGAGAGCAGGGACTTAGTATGGTGCCTAGCCCATAGTAGGCCCTCAATAAATGTTTATTGATTGGTCAAGAATAGGAGTAAGAGGAATCAGGCAGAAGAGGTTATGGTTTGAGAGAAGATTTAAAGTTTTGGAACCATGGAGGTAGAATAGTTATGAGAAGGAGTGTGCTGGTAAAAGTTTAACAACTGACTCTCTGAAAAAAAATTATACACTGCACACTTTTAAGTCTAATCTGCATGACTCACGTTTTCTCCAACACTTTATTAGGTCTACAAATCAACAAAACAATAAACCAAGTCATAATCTGAGCATTTGTTATTTCCAAGGTGTAAATGCTTACGCTGAACATTTAATAATCAACTCTCCTGAGCCAATGTGAATTGGCTCCAGTACCCCACAGGTTATGAGTGGTCAAAGAGTTGAGGGAAAGTATAGATCATGGACTTCAATATGTATTTTGAATCCTCCAAATTCAAGGAATGGAATGGAGAGGAAGACCGAACCAGATTCAGCAACAATCTGGGTAGGGTGATTTGGACAATGGAGTGAACCCCAGAGGAAGAGAGGTTGATGGGTGATATCAACAGAAAGAGGGTCTGGAAGTAACAAAGAGGAGCAAGGAGTACGCTTAACTCCTTTTCTTGATCCACGGATATCTGGGTACATGAGCAAAGATGCATCCAGGATAATAGTGAAGGAAAGCATTATCTTGAAGGGCAGGAGAAGTGGAGAGGGAGAGGTTTTCAGGAATGCATTAGGCTAGAGGGTGAGATCCAATACAAAGCGGGAGTTTGTTAACAGTATAATGGGTTTCTATAGGAAACAATGGAGGGCTATAGCCCGTAAGGGATTTAGGTGGGCAGAGATTAAGGAATGGAGAATGGTAGTAGAAGGGGATTTTAGATCACATAGCCTTCAACTGTGAATTGCAGTGTCCT